TCCCACCCCCCTCTCCTTTCTCCCTCTCTCCCTCCCCCCTCTCTCTCTCTCATTTATTATAATTATAATTATTGTTTTCAGGTTGTGCTATTTTGTATGCTGTTCGTCATCGGCTTATGTCGTTGCAATGATCTTCCATCAAAAACTGAAGTCGAGAGCTCAATCAATCGAACGATTGACGAAGTCGAAAGATTGATTCGCCAAAATTCTACTTTGCCATATCTCACCAGACATGAGATTATTGACATCCTTTTTAATATTACATCCAAAAATCTTGAGACATACGAGAACAAAAGTACACACACAATGGAGGAAGCAAGAAATATCTATCAAAAAGCTTTAATGGTAGTTTTACCTTATAACGCGCGCGCAGAAGACACCAGAGAAAACATCAAGGATCTACATATCAAACCGCCAATAGTTCAAATAATTGCGGATCCTTCTCCCAATCCGGAAGACTTTGAAGTGTGGAAGAATAAGAAATTAGAAGCAAAAAACATACTCATGCAAGAAATGCATATACAACATGATAAAAAGGAACAATCTCTCGATAATTTTGTAGTAACACATGCTCCAAACAAAAACTTAGTAAATGAAGAGAGAGAGAGCGAACACCCTGAACAAACACAATTGTATAGAAATCACAAAGAAACGTATTCGGAAGTGTCTTCGAAGGTACCTATGAAAGAGACACTAAATGATTCAGCGCCAATCAAATTTAGCTTCAATCTGGGAAATCTGCAAAAGAGAGAGAGAGAGCAACCCCCTCCTACCATTGTTTTTGAAAAACAAACAACTACCACTAGACAACCAATATTTCAAGGATCTTCATTAATCAAAGACAAAGAAGTTTATGTAGTATATAGTACCAGTGCAACAACAATCCCCCCACGAACAATAGAGACAAAAAAGTATATTTCAATGTTTAACTTGGAACCGGAGAGAGAAAAAGAAATGATATCTCGTCCTTTAAAATATGATGAAAATGTTTTGTCTGTTGATCAATGGCGATATAACGCACCAATAACACAGAAAGAAAAAGAAAGTACCACAATGTTAACAAAACTTGATGAAACAGATACGCTTTTTAAAAGAATTCGCAACAAGCAACAGCTTTTTCCAACTGCTACTACACAAATGCCATTAGAAAATATAGCGCCGACTAACAAAATTAAGTACATTCCAGAGAATTCAAAGATAACATCCGAAAAAATACAAATTGTGAATGCTGAATCAGCTCCCATTTACGTGACACCAATGCCCCTCTCTTCTCCTTTATCTTTTATTTCTTCTTCCACTTTGCCGGCGCGTGAGAAAGAAAAATTAAAATATAATTCTACTTATATATACAATTTAAACACTGGAGGTTTTCGCAAAATCACAACGATGCGTCCAGAAATAATGGAATTGCTTGCTTCAATTGGACTTCGACCGAAAAATGCTACAAATGTAGAAGATGTATTTAAAAAGAGTAATAAAGATTTAGAGATAAAATCCCGAATTCCTAACAGTAACGGTTTAGTCTATACAACTTCTCTTTCCAGTCTGACAGATGTTGTGCACGATTCATCACCAATAAACGCTCAAAACACTTTTGAGAATCCTGTTTTAGAGATCGGAAAAGGCATGAACAATCTAACACCTGATGTACAATTACTTTTCCAAAAATTTGGTTTACAAACATCTAATCTAGTGACAACAACATCGTCCCCGCTGAAGATCACTAACACAAATTCTTATACCAACTTCAAACCTTTGCCAACATCTAAGATAAGAAACGAAGATATGAAAGAATTTTTAGCAAAATTTGGACTTGGTGTTAGCGACAGCAGACAGAAAAAGGCCATGTCGGTATCAACGGAACGTCCATCGTTGATCGAAGTCGTTCCAGATAACATGAGGCAAATTCTGGAGAACATAGGCCTCATATCTCGCAAGACATCGGGAACAATATCAAAGATCGAGAGTATGGAACCAACAAAAACGACCCAGTTTCACGTGTTTAAACCTCACGAAGTCCGTGTAAAGAATGAAGAGGAGAGAATGAAAATTAATGAACTTTTAGACAAAATTAGATTAATTCAGGAAGGAAAAGCAAACGCAACGGACGTACGAAAAGTAGCCGATAATCTGCTTGTTACTACAAAAACTTTAAAGGATGGGCCGGATCCGCTGAGTCTAGAAGAGATGATTAAAACTCTCTCTCACTCTTTTTCTTATAATGTAAATGTAAAAAATGAAGTAAAAAGACAACAGAATCTGAAAGAAACTACTACCAATGATGATCGAGCTCTTTCAGCGCCTACTGGTAAAAAAATATTTATGATATCCTTTTTGGGCAATTTGAAATTCTAGATTGGATGAATTATTTAGAATTTAGTGAGAATCTAACACATGTTAATCAACACAAGGAATAAGATTATGCAATTAAATCAATGTATTTTTGGAGATGCCATTACTAAATACTTATTCCCTCAGTAATTTTCTCTAGCTTGAAAATTTGTATATAATGCTAAATAAAACTGCACATTAACATTTTATGATAAATTCGAACATCTTTCGGTATGCAAACTATCTAAACGATGTTCATCAAAGAAGATTTTTGCAATCTTTTCCTTATGCATACGTTACTGTCATAGGCGCAAAATTACTAACAGAGAGGTGCACCCAAAAGAATTCAAATTCGAGCGCCAACTGTAATAACTTTTCTATTGGAAGTGTGTAAATAAAAATTCAAAATGTGCATACACATGCAAACGATAAGCAATTAAATGAGCCATAGAACTTATTCTTTTCAATGTTGGGTGGTTAACTTCACAATGGTAATGTGACAAACAAATTTGAATTTGAACATGTAGCAACCAAGACAAACTCAAGTTTTTGTTTTAATATTGATATTTTTAAAATGTATTTCTCAAAGTTTTATTACAAATATTAGTTACCTAACATTTGCATTGAGTTTTTTGTTTAATTAGAAAAGTTGTATTTCATATTATGTGACTTCTTTTTTTTCTGTAGATTTTCCTCTTTTCCACTTATTTCATAAGCTAGGGAGCATTACACATCCCTTTTCACTCCCCTCGTGGCGCCCATGGTTACTATCTACTAGATAGATACAACTTTCATCCTGCGTGCTTAACTCTGAAGCAATACGCGTTGTCTTGATGTTGCACGTAAATATTGGATGCATTTACTCGCACGCAAACCGGTTCGTAACTCAATGTCATCATTATCGCTACCAATCACGCAATGGATAGGCAAAAAACTTATTGTCTACTTTATTCTTTGGAGTTTTTCCTTTAAACAGTTTCTTCTTTCATAATATATAGCTGCGCTGCAATAAATTAAATGGGGAAAACACAATAGAGAGGGAAGAGAAGAGTGCTTTTTATTGAAATCTTTATCAAAGATGAATTTAGAAAATATTCATTTTTATTGTGCTTGACTCGAGTATTATCTGCAATTTCAGCTTCTTTATTATTATATGTATACATCTTTATATAATATTAAAACTTTAAATACAAAGCGCCTTCCCGGTCCGAGTGTTAAGATGTTGAACTACTATCTAGTATACATTCAATTAAATTGAATTAATATTTCAGAAATAACGGTTATTGCGAAGAGTGTTGCTAAGGTCTCGGTAGTCTAAAGGCTCAGGACGCTCGCACGGAATGCAAGAGATCCGGGTTCGACTCCCGGCCGAGGCAATATTTTTCGCAATAAGTTTATTACAGTTTTTTAAGATTTGGGAGAATTTGGGGGGATTATTTGTTTCAGATTGATTGTGTGAATCCGATAATTTCATCGGCTCTCAATTTATTTCTGAAATATTAATTCAATTTAATTGAATGTATATTAGATAGTAGTTCAACATCTTAACACTCGGACCGGGAAGGCGCTTTGTATTTAAAGTTTTAATATTTATATAGACGGTCTTGTTTCCAATCATATTCTTTATATAATATTTTCCTCATTAATTTCCGATCTTTTCCTCTTAAAGTAATTTTATAATTTTATAATTTTTATATCTATATATATAATGATAAAATTTTTTAATACTCTCAGCGTTGCTAAGAATATTCAAAATATTTTTTGCACAATGCTACATATATTTTTTAATTTTCTTTCATATTTTTTATCTTTTTTTTATCAAAATTTAATTTTTCGCAATATTTTATTTTTTCTTAAATTATTTCGGCTTATTCCTTAAATTGACAATAATATTCGCGAAAATACATTTATCAAAATTTTTAATAGCATTTTTAGTCATGATATGATTGTCACATTTATTATTATAAAACATAAAAAATTTTCTCAGAGATAATATCACATAAAATAAATAAAATAGCAATTAAACACCAATTCACCAAAGATCTTGTCGGCAGAATCTGCAGACGTTTCTTTGACAACAACGACGACTATGGCCACAATCCCGACGACTTCAGATTCCACAAAGAATGGTTCAAACTTCCGTGATGCATTGGCACCAACTGCAGAGTCATCAATATCTACAAATGCAAATCTTGCGGCATTGGAAGAATCCTTTGGTGGTACTACACGTGCACCGGATCCTGTTCTGCCAACCAAACGAAGGAACGGCCTATATTTTCTGTTGGACTGGAATACCTTCCTTGAGGTCGGCGATGAAGAGAGCGAGAAAGTAAATCTGAGATTTGAGCCAAAAGTTGGTGACAGAACGAGATTTTTGCCAGTCAGCGTGCCTTAATTTACAATAATATATTAATTTTAATGAAATATTTTTTCTGAAGAACGTTAATTTAATTTATGTATTCTAATGTTTATAAT